ACTTCAATTATCTAAAGAAGTGAGCTGTAATTGTCAAAAGCTTATGCCTTTTAATAAAAATTGTTAGTCACTAAAGGTGACTACCTGATTCCTTCTAAAAATAAAAATGTCACAAAACAATCATATGTTAAAACTGTGCACAGATTCATCTCTCTAAAGAAAAAATGCTAATCAAACCAATGAGATTATGTAAAGTCAAAGGATTTCCTTTTCTCCCGAATTTTGTTCATTTATTTAGAAGGATATAGTAGAAGATCTCAATAGCTCCTTGAAGCACTGAGTGCAACTTAATGTACATATTTAAAGTAAAGCGATGGTTTACTAATAGGATGCCATTTAGGAAAAGTAAAAAAAAGATGCTTTTACAATAGCTTTACTGTATTTAGCTTAAAGCTTTTATCTCAAAGCCACATAATATCCTGGAATATAAACTAGTATTACTGTCCCTTGAACTCAGTTAAATCCTAATTTTTTAAAAATAAATTATTAATACCTAAACTGTATATTTAAATGCTTTTTCGGTAGTTAGCAGGCCTTAAGTCAGTCGTCTCCAACTTCCTTAGGCCGATGGGCCTTTTGTGGGTCTTTTGCAAAATGGCTGCTGGAGAACTTTGCCTAGTCATGTCTTGCCATATGAAATATTAATCATCAAAGTGTTCCAATTTGTAACTAGTTATGATCCTGCTACTGGTCCTGCTTTTCTTTAGGTTTTTTTTTTCTGGGCACATAGACAAATTTCTAAACTGGATTTCAACTGTTCTTTTATTAAACTTTTCAGCTTACAGAATTTTTGTTCATGACTAAGATGTTAGAAACCAGTGCTTTGCCAATTTTCACACTTTTTTAAAAAAAAGTTTTAAAATATAAATGTTCAGATAGGATAAGGATCCTGGAAGGTCCATGACCTATTGGACGACCATAAGACATTGAGTCTCTCAGATTTTTTTCAAGTTTTGCTTTACCAAAGTTATAAGAATAAGAGGAAGCCTTCTCTTTCAAACGGGAACTGTCCCATCATATTAAAAAAAGGCAGAAGCTAGGAAAGAAAAATGAGATCAATAATCTGCACTATGCATTTGGTACAATGATCCAACAACTAATCAAAGTGCTTTGCAGCTTTCTCACCCATACTCTGATTGCCACAAAACCTTACGCATACTGTGTCTGAAAACTAGAACAAGATTCCTTTTGTTCAAGTTAGATGCTCCCTCCCTTTTTTTGCAGCACTGCTTGGTTTTCCATCCTACGCTCTGTTTCTATTAAGTTGGCATTTTCTGACTTTTGCAATGTATGTCTAGATGGATGGCACAGTTCCTTATAGTCCTAACACAAAATGCTTATAGTCATCCATCTATCAATCAGTCCACTCAATCTAATGGGTATCAAGTCAGATCAATATATGCTTACAATTGTTTGTCTTATTTCTTTGCTGTTGATAGAACCCCATAAAGGATTATAGTACAACATAAGTTAGATACTGTCAAACTGGATAGCTCATAAACTTCTGTCAATATTGATTCCGAAAACAACAGGATTTCCTTTTCTGGTATTTCCTAAAATGAATTCAGGTTCTTTTTGTATAGAATGTAATAATGCTAAAATTAGTGATGGAAAAGTAACAAAATTACTGAATGATGTAACTACACCTGTTTGCTTTTTGTATATTAAAATATACCGCTATGTAATGAATCTCTGTGAAATCAAAGAGGCACTGAAACACATATACCTATGGATTCTGCCAACATATGTTCTTTGATGATGGGACCTTATATATATTATTACCCTTAGGCAGAAGGGACTTGTTCAATGGGTCACATTTTAGCACACAGGTGCAGCATTCCAGCAGGTTGCAAAATACCACTCCAGATGAGTACAAGCCATAGTGGTAGACAGCCTTCTTAGTATCTGTGCTTAAATTAACACATCCCTATATTCAGAAACTTTTCCATATATGGTCCAGTGACATGGAAGACAATGTGGTTGAACTGGGAATGCAATGGTTTAAATATCAATCTAGCCATGAAGCTCAGTAACTAGTATTAGCACTTATGCTAAATGAGCTCAAAGGATTTGAGGAGTGAAGGCCTATATATCTTATTTAAGTTGCTTAACAAAATAATCCAATAAATAAAAGGTCCATCTCAGCAATTACAAACAGAGTTACTCTGCATGATTTCAGATGTATGTTTCTCAGACCATTTGGTTCACGACAAAGTCAATGTTAGGTGGGAATAAGAAGTGAGTAGATATGCTACATCAGTAAAGTTTGAAATTCAGGGCTGGAAGTTCAAAATTGAAATCTATCCCCACTTTTAGGAGGTTTTTGGATGACTATGGTCTCTTTCTGTATATACAATATCTCATAATATAATTTTGAAACTGAAAGTGATTATACAGTACAATACTACTAAGACCTTCTAGAGGAAAGATGGGGTATGAATGCAACAAATACAAGACTTGGGATTAACCAATGTCCGGCATGATTATGACATTTTTTAAAAAGTTGTCTTTTTGCCAAAGATGCTTTATGTGGTCCTTTCATCATTCCAGTTTTATCCTCACAATAACTCTGTGAAGTAAAGCAGGCTGAGAGGATGCATTTCATGGAAAGTTATTAGGTGGCTGGGTTTTCATAGTGCATTAAACAAAATGTAGATTCTTTGTTTTGCTTATTGGATGAAGTCACCCTAGTCATTCATCCAAACTATCGTTTGACATTTAGTATTACATTTGAATTCAGAAGTCATGGCTTTGCAAAGTATGGCTTAGACCTGCAAACTGGGTCTTAGTGGGATGTGTGAAATTCATGATTGAATGGGGCTTTGAAAGCTTAATTTCCCAATTTTTATTTGGCCATTTTTATTACTATAACATGCTGGCTTTTAACGAAACTTATGAAGATTTTAACATAGAATGTCCATTTCCAATATAAAAGATAGTTAAGGAAAGTCCTGTGATTCCATGCAGTAACAATTAAATAGCATAATAAAGCCTGGGCTTTATATATTTAGTCACTTATATTTATTTTCTCAAACTGGCTGGCACTGTGTGTTTGGGCACCAAAGGGTGTATGAGTGTGTCTAGCGAGGAAGAGGAAAGGATAAGAGATAAGATGTCCACAGAAATCATTTTACAGGCAGCAAGAAAGATCTGGAATCAGTGAAAAGGAGACTAAAATAAAAGATAATTAATGGCCTCTTTTGCCTGTTCTCCTCAAATTTAGTAGCACCACTGTCTGAAATAATAAAAAAAAAGGTTGAAAAGAATTTGAAGATGAATAACCAACTGAAAGAGCAATAAGCAAGCAAGTTCTCACAAAATTAATCAGAAGCAGTCTTGGGCTTCTGAAAGGCTTCAGGATCTGAAACCCAATACCCTTGCCGGGTGGCAGACTGGGGAAGCTTGTTCTAATGCTCACCAGTTAAAATAAAGATAGGAATGGCAAAAATGTGCATCACTTTTCTTGCTGTTTAAAATGACTGTATTAATGTTCATTAATATTAATGTTGATCATTAATAGATTTCACAGGCATCTAAAAAAAAACTATCACAGCGCAGCTGATCTTCAGTGTTATTTCCTTTGCTTTAAAACTGAGATTCCCCCCCCCTAGTTTTGCAATGCCTTCAAAAGCATACTTCATAAGCTCAATGAGGCACAATGGAGTAATGCAGAATTTGCAGCTGATTTAGCACTAAGAGTTAAAAAAGAAAAGGCTGGCTCTTATAGCCTTGCCAAGAAAGAGTATGTGAATCAGTGCCTTTATGCAGCATGCTGCGGGTCTGGCATACTCAGAAATAACCTCAATTTACTTTTTCCTGTTGCTGGAAATAAACAAACAGAAATCTGTGTATATAGTATCCTCTGCAGTATATATATCCCACTGGCCACATCAAATGGAAAGCACGGGATTTATTGTGAAAAAGCACAGGTTTTTTAAAAACCATTTTCAAAGGCTGGTTAGATTTTTATTCAGCAACAGTCATGCTGTTCTGAACTTGTTACTTTCCAGCTTGCATTTACCTACACGTGTATTTGAGCTTAAAAATCATATTGCATGTAGAAAGGGCTCCACATGTAGATGAGAAATGGATCTGCATGTGAAATTCTCTGGTGTGCATCAGGAGCCAAGAACATCAGACAAGGAAAAAAGGAATATTATTGATCCATTCCTTGGAAGTAGAACAGTGGGCACATTCAATGCACTCCCACATGCGCCTGCTCTGATCAGCATAAGTAGAATTAATGCTTTGAAACAGTGCTTTCTTAAGACACCCACAATTATATTATACTTGATCTGTTGAATCAATGCCCATTTTAAGCATTGCTTTAAAGATTCTCCATATCACGTTTATTAAAAACAACCAATATTTTTGCAGCATGTATATTGATTTTGGAATATTCCAGAGACCCCGTTTGAAAAAACAAACTAAGCCTTCTCCTCTTTCTGTTTCAACTCCAACTAAAAGAAGAGTTTTTCAGGGAAGCTTAAAATCTAATATTTGTATCTAAAATCTGCTTAGATCAACAACTCTCAACAGTATGCAAGAGGGGAAAATTAGAAATTAGAAGTGACAAATGAGCAGTTATTAAAATTATAACAAGTACTGAATCTGTGAAAATATCCTCATTTTTTAAATGATCCACAAAGTTTTCTTATAAAAATATTAGCTATTTATGCACCTTAAACATTTGCTAGGAACTTTACTATGGGAAGTAAAGTTGTACATGTCTGGAACAGAGAAACAAACATTAAAAAGCAAACAAACCCTGGAACACTAGAAAATAAAACTTCTGTTCTTTCCGGCCATTCCTCTGTAACACTCTAGTTCCAGTTCCAATATGTTAGCCAAGTTAAGAAAATGTCCTGGCTAAGCTACAGAAACGACTGGAGAAGGCTGATCCTGTGGAATTCACGGAGCAAACTAGACTTAAAATGCTCTGCAAAGTGAAGCTCTGTTAACTTGAAACGTCATTTTGGAGCACAAACAGGAAGACCTACCGTTCATTACTCAAGGCCATCCTTGGTGGATCCAGATTGGGGTTCTCCATGGATTCCATCTGAGGGCAGCGTAGAAAGTAGTAGAGAGTATGGAGGGCGTCGGGGGACCAGGTGATGGGTGGTTGCTGTTGTCTGGTTTGCCGAACAGGGCTCATGCCAGGACGAAGGGTAGTCAAACACTGCATGTGGTGCATTGCTCGTGAGACCAAATCACCTGGAAGGGGAGTAGATATAGAAACCAAGAAAGCTGTATCTAATCATGGATTGATGCCCTAAGAACATTCTTGCATTGCAGAATATACTGTACATATGTGCTAAGCCTTTTAAATAAAACCTCAAATTAATGCAGGCCATGAAATAAATGCTGAAGCCTGTAAGGCATGGATTGATTTCTGATAGTCCCATTCAGATGATGATGATAAACAAGAGGAGATGTGCTAAGACAAACATTTTCCGGGGGGGAAATAAGTCTACAAAGCATCCTTTAAGTCAGTGGTGGGATTCAATTTTTTTTTACTACCGGTTTTGTGGCAGTGGCTTGGTGGGCGTGGCAGGGGAAGGATACTGTAAAATCTCCAATCAGAGGTGGTATTTGCCGGTTCTCTGAACTACTCAAAGTTTCCACTACTGGTTCTCCAGAACTGGTCAGAACCTGCTGAATACCACCTCTGCTTTAAGTAGTATACAGTACACCCTAAAACATAGTTTACATTAATCAAAATATAAACAGACTTTCATAGCTTACTTGTATATAAAAATTTGTTATGTCTGTGTTTTTTTAAAAAAAAACACAGAACACACATTAGAAGTTTTATTGATTTATTTCGTTTTATTTCGTTTTTGCTAACTGGCTCTTAGGCTGGAAAGTTGCCTTTTGGCATTTGAGTATGATTCATCCATTTGCCAAATTCATGGGCTTTAGGATGGATGTGGCATGTTAGCCAAATACTGGGGCCCACAAGTTCCTCTCTGGAATTTTCAGCAGGAGTGGAAAACAAGCTGGTCCTTCAAACATTAAGTGGGATGTAATCTATGGCTGGCAAAGCAAATGCAGCATAAACAGTTGCTACTTTCAGATGTCCATTTCAACTAGTTTGTTACTTATCAAAACAATTGTAGTACTGTACTGGTGCCAAAATAGGTGGCAGGCACTCCTGCTAGGTATACAGTTTCAGCATACAGCTGATATCAATCATTAAATGTTTAAATATCTCCAATTCTGTGAAATTAATGGATTCCTATCCATTGCTAGACTGTGTACAGAATATGCTGTGATTTTTATCTTTGGCTTCAAAATCCTTGATAGTTTTTACTCTTTTATGTTTTCTTCCCCTGGGATAATCCATTTCTCTCTGCTTGGCATGTTCTTTCTAATATCTTGACAACACTATTCTTTCTTACATCTCATTCTTCTTCTTACTGAATTGCTTACTTTACCAGTTGGCAGCACCTGGTCAGAACTTCAGAACTTAGGCAGGATTGGCCTTGATTGGAACTTGGGGGCACCTTGGAATTTTAGGGTTGTTAGCAATGGCGGATTAAGGCTCACTGGTGCCCTAAGCACTGACAAATCTTGGTGTCCCCCTCCTTTGTACATGCTATACAAACAAAGCCAAGCTTAGGCTACATAAAAGTTGCCCCTTTGGGCCTAGTGCCCTAAGCACATGCTTAGTCTGCTTAATGGTTAATACACCACTGGCTGTTAGCCACCATGTGATGTTGAAACAACAATACAGAGGAAGTGAATAGTAAATCTCTGCAGAACTGTCAAAAACCCCACATAGATGCAGACTCTAAGAAGTGAGTTTCACTTGAAAGTACCCTTACCTTTCCTTTTCTTCTGTTGCTTTCCACATACAGAATTCTAGATTCTAAATCTCTTGGTGCAAGAATATGCTTCATGTATAAAGTACCATATTTATTGATAACCCTGAATAAATTATGACAGTTTTAATAATCTGATGGGGATAGAAGCTAATCTCTGTGACACTGTATTAAACTCTGAAATATCCAACAAGACGATTTTATTTTCCTGAAAAACATCCTGAAACGTATTTTCCAGTGTCATCACATGCAAAACAAAGGTAAAATGCAAAATGTTTTCATGAAAAGTCCCATATGCTGTGTAAATTAATACCACATTGACGCTTATGTTGCTTACTCAGTTCAGAGATGCTTCCAACGCAGGTTGCCAGGAGAGATTGTTCTAAAGTCCGAAGTTCTAGCTGGGCATAAGCATCGGCTCTTCCATTGCTGCATATCGATCCATCGTTGTAAGGGCTGAAGTAGGCGGGCAGAGAAAGCACACCTTAAAAAGCCAGAGAAAACGGGCCTATTAGGAAAAACACTAGTACAAAATAAATACATTTGTTGTATATTGAAAATGTAATGCAGTTTTACATGACTTCCGTAATACATGCAGACAATGGTCAGAATTGACTTGCAGAGCAGTGTCTCTGAAGTTTAGCAACCCTTAGCCAGTGCGATACCCATGCTCATCTGCCATTCTCAAGTAAATCCAATGCCCCAACTAATTAGTTTCCAAGGAGATATATATATATATTTGTTTTCTTACGTTTTCGCGGGTACTTACATGTATGGTATTCAGCTTTGTTCGGGTATTTTCCCACATCATTATAACTGTACTTTTAAAGTTGTAGCAACGTTTCGGCATATCTCATCTGCCATCATCAGGCTTGTGTATTGTGTATTGTGTTCGTCTGATGATGGCAGATGAGATTCTGCCGAAACGTTGCTACAACTTTAAAAGCACAACTGTAATGACGTGGGAAAATACCCGAACAAAGCTGAATACCATACATATAGATACCCGCGAAAACTTAAGAAAACACACACACACACACACACACACACACACACACACACACACACA